TTTTGGGCGGAAAACACTCATCTTCTTCCGCATTCCATTTTTGTTTCCTTTACAAGTTGTAGGATTGTTATAGGATATAATATTAGGTGGAATAAATGGTACAGAGTTTCTTTTCTATTGTTTTTTTTTGTCAACCTAAAATTAACGTGGTGGGTAAGAACTAAGATTAATAAGAGATAATTATTTAGGAAATTGTTTTTTAGCAAAGTTTGTGAAATTTTTGGGTTATTTTTATTGGACAAGTTAGTGAAATGATGTCTCATCGGGATGTTATCATGTCAATCACGATTGTAGTGTGGCTAAAGTCAGTTGACATTATCGAGTGAGATGAGCGGCGACATCCGAGCTCCGCCGACCCAAACCCCACAAACTCGCTCTCTAATTGACGACCAAACGATTTCCCCAAACGCTTGTGATATATCAGAACCCAACTTCGGCCGCCACCATGTTTCAATGGGTATCATATTATCGTAATACCGTTATTAACGGAACATAATAGAACATATTAAACTTGCACTATATTGGCGTAATACTGCAAAATTACTTTAATAGTGAACAAAATTAGCAAAAAAAAAAAAATTAATTCAAAATTCGTAAGCAATGAAAATAATATCAACATATAATCAAATTATTATACTATTATAACCCTAATAAAATAACTTATTCATCACAATTCCCAATGCACATTTTCCTTCCCACTTTCCTCTATAAAACACAATTTTCCTTCCCATTTCCTTAACCTCCAAATTGTCCCTCCCCTCCTAATTCTCTTCCCCTCCCCTCCATTTTCCTCTCTTCCTTCGGAAACAGAGTGTAAGTTTTCATCTTATTGTTGAATGACTTGAATCTTCACAGTTGGGAACCATAAGTTTCCTTTCCAACATCATCTTTTGTGTTCGAATTAAAACTGCCTTATGAATGGCTCTACTTACGGAAGCGAATATTATGCGGTTGGCAGCAGATTTTTCTCCGTCGGCAGGATATATATGTGTGCATGTTTCTCGTCGATCACGAGTAGTTGTGCAGGAAAGGGACTAATTGATATGAATTATGATCTCTTGCTAAAAATACAATTACGATTAATAATTACCAACCGGCTTCTATACTAATTATACCACGATAAAGTCGTAACCTCGAGATGTTGTATTTCAGTTATGGTGAACACTCATGCCACTTTTCTTCTGTAATGTAGTTGTGGTGATGGCAACGTCAGCTACATCAGATAACATGTGTTCTCACTCATTCACTCACTCACTCACAAGTAGAAGCATTACCGGAATTTTGTTTAAAGCGAGTCACGCGTACAAAACAAATATACATTAAATTTTTATCAATTTTATGTAAAACGACTTGGTTTCATACTCCAAAATATTTTTAAATGAGATTAACATTCCAAACTGTAAAAAATGTCACCGCAATATATCCGTTGAAAATTCACTCATAGTTTTGATATCATTTTGATATTAAAGTGGGTTCTTCAAATACTTCATAGTTGAAAATGTTTAGAGCCCCAGGTGGCAAAGAGCCGACTTCGAGGTCCCAAACTTTACCTTAAGACTTCAATCCAAAGTTGATATTGTATTAGATATTTGATCCTAATAATTTGGAAGACACACCTGTCTCTGATCTTCAGACTTTGCCTTGAGAAATGAAACAAGAAGGCAATTGATCTGCAGAAAATAAAAAAGGGGGCAGAAAAGATTTGAAAACAATATATCTCCGCCGAGTCTCCGGGAGAATTGTGCGGTTTTGTCCATGTTAGCGCTGGCCGTGGCCTAATGTTCCGCTCCCTCCCACTGCTGAAATCTATGCTACGTACGAAGGTGGAAGCAGTTTGATCTGATGCTTCCTAGGAGTGCTACATTTCCACATATTGTTATCCATTTTATGTTCCATACTACTAATTTCATCACAATTAAGAAAACCCTCAATTTCTGGATTCTGTGCTTCTGGGAAACATTGCCATCTCAGAGTTTGTGCAGAGTATGGTCTACGTGTGCTTCGGATGAATATATTTTTATTTTTATTTTTGGGAGATACTTATATTGTTGCTCACATTTTCTGGTACATTAATGGATTGTTTAGGTAAACAGTATGAGCATTTAGAAATTAGGATACTTATTTTATCCAAAACCCAGCTTCTTATTAATTCTACGTATTAGTTTCTCATTTTCTGATAAATTATTTGACTTGATGAGTTTGCTGGTGAGAGTTTTGGGAGCTGCACAATCAAGCGAGCAGAGGTATGGGCCATGCGTTCGCATGGGGAAAAAGGCATTTTGCAAGCTTTGTAATAAAATCGTAGACTTATTGAACTGATTGGTTTATCACATAGTATTAGAGTTAAATTGGTTAAGTGACTGGTCATGTGCTTGGATCTTCATGATCCTGAATATTATCAGTCTATTTAAGCATCAGATATGATGAACATGTACAAACTCCAAACTCGTAAGTTGACTTTCGTTCCAATTAGTTTATGACAAGCTCAAGACCCTTCTTGATTCACAAACAACCTTATGCAATTTGACTGAGAAGAATTGTGATCGCATACGTATAGGGAGTGTAATTATGTAGTTGACTTTTGTAACTAATTGTAGTTATGTTTTCGATTTTGGAGTTCAACAATTTTCAAGCATCCTATATCTAAAACAAGGATCAATAAATTAAAATAGTAATCCATTTGTTGATTGTCATTTCTCATCTCCAATGGATTTTTTGAAGGTATAAAATTTTGTTTCGAATAAGCACAAGTAAAAGTCCCAATCTATGTCTATGAGTCTATGTTGTGTAAATTGACTTAGTCTCTTAGCAATTATCATAGGCTGGAAATGACATTTCTTTCAAGTTTTCATTCTTCAATATGTATGTAATTTATCTAAATTAGGCGTCCATATGTTGTGGTCTAGACTTTACATATACAAATATACACTATATGAGCAATATTGAGCTTTATATTTTATGAGTCTAAAAGGGATGAACGTTAACTCTTGAGTGGTTATGCAAAGTATTATGTGTATATAATATATGTTAGATATATGACTAATTACTTAACTGGTTAATTTGGTTTGACTGGTTAGGAGTGTCTGAAACCAAACCAAACCACCTAAACCAAATAAGCAAAAAACTTTAACCAAACCAAACCAATTATCCAAATTAACCAAACCAAATTATCCAAATAGTATCGGTTAAAACGGTTACCACGGTAACCAAACCGTTTGAACACCCCTAATGTTAAAATCTGCGAGATAATTTCTCGAGGGTACCTTTAACAGAAAAAGCCCTGTATATGTTACCTTACCCCCCCCCCCCCCCCCCCCCCCCCCGGGATTATTTGAAGGACGAAAAAGAAATGAATATCCTCCTTATTCAGTACTGGGATTGGGCTTGGAAGCTATGGATGGTGGGCTGGACCTCGTAGTTATGGGCCAATGGAGCGATACCATGACAGAAAAACAACCATGGGCTTCGAATTAATGTCCAATGAGGACCGAAAATACGGCTTTTATGGGAACTAGCGCAGGGCCCGGCCTTTTGGCGAGGAGACCTTGATAGTTGTGTTGTGTATAATTTTGTTCAACTTAACAGTACGTAAGTGGTTGATAAGTTTATATTTAATAATTGGGTTAATACCCTAGTTTGGCCCGAAGTTTGGTGTAAGTGACAGTTCTAGCTCAATTTTTCAAATAAGACATTTGTGGCCTACTTTTGAAACTATTGGACACATTTGGCCCAAAATTTTCTTTAACCGTTAATATTGACGGTCAAACACTTTTCCGTAAGTGACTCAGCAAACAACCACTTATATGGCATACCACGTCAGTAATTAATATTATTTTAATTATATAATTTAATTAAAATAAAAAATAAGAAAATTCCTTTATTATCCCAAAATCCCCAAAGCCCCAAATCCAAACCCTAATTCCCTAAATCAACATCAGCAGGAGGCGCCTCCCTCCTCCTTCCTCTTCTTCACATCGTGGCGGCGTTTGCAGTGGCAACCGCAGCCTCCACCACCTTCGTTGTTGCCGCCACCGCCGCCGTCATGGAGATAGTTCCCTCGGATCCTAATCTTCCTCGTGGCAGCCCTCGTCGGCGTCGTAGTCATCCGCGACCGCAATCCGTTGGAGCATCACGGAGGCGAAAGAGGAACCATCACGATCTCCCTACAGTACCCTAGCCGAGACTGCGGACGGAGGCGCTGCCGAGGTGGTCCTTTTCTCGGTATAGGACTTGACGAAGCTCCACCGCCTCTTCTCCTTGGGACGAGCGGCGGCGGTCGCGGCATGCTGTTGTTGGGGGAGGGAATGACCGGAGATCTTGGCCATTGTTTTTTAATGGTGGGTTGGAAGGGGCAATGGTTGTGGAGAATGCAGTTAGATGGAAGAGAGGGATTCAGTGAAGAAGAGAAAGGAGGAGGAGGAGGCGTTGTTGATGCTGATTTAGTTTAGTGAATTAGTGTTTGGATTTGGGGCTTTGAAATTTTGGGATAATAAAAGGGATTTTCTTAATTTCTTAATTTTTATTTTAATTAAATTATAAAATTAAAATTATATTATTTAATAATGTGGCATGCCACATCAGTGGTTGTTTGCTGAGTCACTAACGGAATATTGTTTGACCGTCAATATTAATGGTCAAAGAAAATTTTGGGCCAAATTTGTCCAATAGTTTTAAAAATAGGCCATAATTGTCTTATTTGAGAAATGAGACCATAACTGTCACTTACGCCAAACTTCGGGTCAAATTAGGGTATTAACCCTTAATAATTTATGAAAGGACTTAAAAAATTTTACAGATAAAATTTATAAAATCCCTTTTCTGGCGGACACTACCCGGTGACCGTCCATATAAAATGATGCCAACCACTCATATTGGCAACAACTTTAGGTGGTGGCGTAGAGTAGGGGTGGGCATCCGGTTCGATTTTAACTCCCCGAACCGAACTGAACCGAAGCCAAACCGATCGAAACCGAAATTCTCACTATTCGGATCGGAAATCGGAAAGGAAATACTCTTAATTCGGAATACAGAGTATGCCAACCGAACCCGAAATTTCGAGTTCCGAACCGATAAACCGAAATTGCATACCCAACTACCACATCCTGCCAGGCCCAACAAATTAAAGAAGCCCAGCTGAGGGCCAAGCCCAGCAACCGAGACTCAAATTGAAGGTCGCCTCCTCCAGATTCCAAAGAAAGAAAGACCCAACAATAACAAAACCTAATCCTAATTCCATCTATCTCTCCCTTTGTCTCTCCCTCTCGTCCGCCGCTCACCACAATCACCACTCACCACCACCGACCGTCTCTCACTCTCTCTCGATCACTCGAAACCTCAAACGGTGTACACACTACCCAACTCCTTCTTCATCGCGAAAAACGAACTCTGGTGTGGCATCTTGGCGGCGGCGCAATCGACAAGGAGAGGTGGTGCCGCGACGGGATCGGCAACAGAGACGATAGAATTAGCGGTGGTGGAGCCCCAGCATGCTCTCCCATGGCTCTGTCTTCTCTTTGCCACCTCTTCCTCTTCATCAAAATGGGCGAGCGGCGAACTTAGTGCTCCATATCTGGGAAGAAGGCGAGCCCGGTGGCGGAGGGAGCTCATTGCGATCTGCGCGGCGGAGTGCTCTAGGCGGCGGAGTGCTTGGTAAGGGTGGATTGATGGCTTGTTGTTTTAGCAGAGAGAGATGGATGGATTGAAGAGGGTGATATGGGAGAGCATGCAGGGGTGAGGGATTAATTGATGGAGGAGAGAGTAGAAAGAGATTGGGGTGAGGGATTAAAGTGGGGCTCGTTTGTGATAAGGCAGCAGGTGAGCATTTCGGTTTTGGGAAGTCAAACCGAACCAAGCCGAGCTATAATTAGGTTCGGTTGAACCGAACCGAATTATAGCTCGGTTCGAATTTGGTTGGGGTGCTGGGTACTTCGGAAATTCGGCATGTCCTGGTTCGGTTCCATTCAAAACCGAACCGACCGAACGCCCACCCCTAGCGTAGAGTCCACACAAACAACATCACCATCGATGGGCAGATCGGTTAGGATGGCGATGTCCTTAAGTGTGACGGTGCACTCGCCTTCACAAAAATTGAAGCAGTGTGTCTCCTTTCGCCATCTCTCTACCATCACCGTGATGAGTTGGTAGTCGATCTTGATTCCATTAAAATGCCTAATCGAATCCAATCTTGCCCTTTTTAGAAAGGGCAAGATGACGTCGTTCCATTCAAGCACATTCGTCGTGCCCCTATAGCGGACTATATGGTATGCATCCTAGAGAAGAATTTAAATTTCACTATAAGTTGATGATTTATACATACATAAATATATTATAAGATGCAATATTAATTAAATCAAGGTTGTTTTATAGAAATATACATTATCTAATAAACATTAATTTTAACATAACTAAATAATATTATAAGATGCAATATTAATTAAATCAAGGTTGTTTTAGAGAAATATACATTATCTAATAAACATTAATTTTAACATAACTAAAATAATTTTCTAAGATGCAATATTAAATAAATCAAGGTTGTTTTAGAGAAATACTCATTATCTAATAAAAATTAATATTAACATAACTAAAATAATTTTCAAAATTCAAGTATAATTATTTTTGTACACATAAAATCAAATATATTATTTTGTTAATCGTATTGATTATTTTCAATAATTTAAAGCAATACAAGTACACTCGTAAGACTCTTAGGAGAGGTATACATCTCCTTAGAAACACAGTCTTTTTGACAGAAAAAGGAGGGATCCGAGGATCGCTTAGAACCCGATTTTCCCAGGTCATGGGGGGATTATGATGATCGCTTAAGTCCCCATTTTCTTAGACATGCATTTCTTTATAAAGAGTCTAAATAAGTGTTGTATTGTATTGATTTAAATTATTAAAAATAATCAATATGATCAACAATTAAGTAAATTATTGTACAAACAAATAAATTACTTTAACAAAATAAAAATTACAAGTGATGATAATAATGTACCTTGTGGTCGTTCCGAACGTCTCTTGAACGATGATTAGCTTGATCGTATAAAACAGTCGGATCAATCGGTCCTTGATCAACATAATATCGTTGATTGTAAATATCAACATCCGGCCCAACCTACGATAGCATAACAACAACATAAATCAATTAGTATATAAATTAAATAAATCATTATAACAACAACAACAACAACAATTGGGAAAAATGAGTACGTACCGTTTGATAATCATCATAAAAAGGCCCTCTTCTTGGACGAAATCGTCCATTTTTTTGCAATCCGGACAGAGGTTCGACGGTTTTTTAGTGAAAACCAAAGAAAAAGTTTTTTGAAGGCATATCAGACTTAGCCGCAACCAACAAAATAACTAATTCTAAGGTTTTTGGGTGGGGAGGGGGGTGGGTAGAGTGAGAAGTTAGAGGGAGAGAGGGGGGAATGGGTTTGGTGTGCAGAAAATGGGAGGGGGGAGGGGGTTTATATAGGGACGAAACCGCGTGAGGGAGGGGCGGTTTCGTCCTTTTACCCCGCCTAAAACCGCGCCTCCAACGCGCGGTTAGCGTTCCCCAACAGTCAAACCGCGCTTCGGGGGAGCGGTTTGACTGCACGACGCGGATCGCTGAGCTGGCGCGCGGTTTGGCCGTCAGATCGCTCCCCCATCGCGTGGTCTGATGCACCGCCACGTGGTCACGCGGTTTGACGGCCAGGAAGAGTCAAATCTCTCCATGGGGGCGTGTTTTGTGCTATAACCGCGCCTTCATGCTGCGTTTTGTGTGGAAGGGTGGTATTTTTGGAAATTGTTGGGAATGTGGTATTTTTGTAATTTTTTTTTTATAGTGGTAGTTTTGGATTTTTCCCCCAATAACCCGGTCAAGGCACCCCTTGTGGAACACGTGGCTGCAATTTGCCAGCCCCTGAATCTCGTCCTCCGCCTCGAAATCGTACAGGCACACCGCGCAACTCTCTGACGGGTCCAACAGGTCCCCGAATCTCACCACCGACAGGATCTCGCGAATCAACACCGTCGACACCGAGCGCTAGAACTCCGGAAACCACCACCGGCCGGCGACGCGGCATGGACGACGCGAACGAGTTGGTGAAGTCGGAAGCAGAGGATGGTGACCAATTTTACCCAATTATGCAGTATAAATATATAGATTCTACATGTAATGAAGGAATTAGAAGACTGAAATCCAGCTATATTAGGATATGGACTAGCTTCTGGAAATCTTTGTATTTTTGAAACACGCAAGCTTCTATGAAAAAGAAATTAAGCCCTTTGTTAATTAAGAGAAGATGAGAAAGGGAGCGACAGAGTGAGGGAGTGATGGATGGTGGGAGTAGTGGTGCAAAGATGAACACTGACTGGTGTAGTGGTGGTATAACAAAGGAAGCCCATGCATGACTTAGGCGACTGATATCACCTTAATTCGAGAATCCTCCCAAATCGGACAAAAAATACCAGAGTTGCACACGTCAAAATTTTTAGGGCTTTCTCCTTTGTTGAATAACACGAAAATAAAGATCACTTGTGGAATCGATCAAACAGATTCGAACTCGTGAGGAGGGCCAACTGGTATATGAAACTAATCAAACAATCTCGAACCCGTGGTTAAGGCCAATCGATATCGTCAAACTCGCCACAACTAGATGTGATCTTCTAGTTGATAAGAGACACTCAAACCTCCCGAATCCTGAAAGGAAAATTAAGCAAAAACATTCTCAAAGGAATATAAGTTAAAACTCTCTAAAATTGATAACCGAAATCTGAATTACAAAGTAGAATTCGTCCTCCTTGACGGGTTGTTGATGAAACCCCTGACCACCTTGTGGTTGAAATTGTTATTGTTGTTGTTGGAAATTCGAGCCTTGAAATTGTGTCCTTTGCTAGATGAGGGTTGGCCTTGGTTGATAAGTTCTCGTTGGGCCTTGGAAACTGAGAGATCTTGGATTACTTGGTGAGGACCACGCGAGGTTCTGATGGTTGCGCCAACCCGGGTTATAAGTGCTGCTATAGGGGTTATTGGCGTTGTTCACACCCCTAGAATTGGCAATGAAGCTCACATGTTCCTCCGGGTGCTTGCTTCTTTCATCAATTGGCATTCCGCAACCTCGTAGTTAGGACTCGAACACCAATCGCACACTATCATCGGCTTCTTGCCTTGCTACCTGTATTGTAAGAGTGTCGATATCAACTCGTCGATCTTGGTTGTGAGGAGGATTCGATGTCTCCGTGGAGTGTAATCTCCTCTCACATGTCCTTCTCCCACGTATCGTTAGACCCCAACCGTAGCCATTGAAGACCATGTCTTCAAATAAAGTGGTCATCTCAGGTGGGGTCTTACTGAGCATATTTCCTTGACATAGAGAGTCAATAATATCTTATCTTCTCGATGAAGACCATCATAGAAGGTTTCAATCCCTTTTTGGATGCCCCATTGATCTTCAAACTTCCCGCTATCTCAAGGAATCTCTAGACATGCTCCCTTGGAGACTCATCCTTGATCCCATTGCACTGTGTATGGTTCTGAAGTACTGTGACGAGGCCGGCTTGATCTCAAAGTTGTTGGCGGCCACGGGTGGGTGCAAGATGCTTGATTGAATATCCTCCTCCCATGGGGCAATATAATAGCCCATGGTCCTCGGCTCTTAATTTCCCACTTGGACTTGGCCTTGCTGATTCTCCGCCATCCCCGAATTCCCAACTTCAACTTCTTCTTCCATCTCAACTTCCTCCCCAGCTTCAACTTCTCCTTCGGGTTCACCTTATTGCCCCCGATCCGCTATCCTTTCTCTTGCTTCCCTCAACTCTCTCTCACGAGCCAAAAGTCATAGAGTCCGGTTGATGTTCTCGTCTAGTGGCGCCAAAGGTGTCAGATTGCTCCGGGTCATACACCCCCTGCACACACTTCAAAAACACAACTCGAGTCAACAAAAGAAAGATTAACAATCGACAATGCAAAAATTAAAAACTACATTAACACCAAACGACTTTTTCTAAATAATGGACCGTATGCTCCCTGGCAACGGCGTCAAAAACTTGACTCGTGCCTAACTACACGATTAAACTCCCGACTAGAGCCCAAGAATAAACTCTAGTAGGGTGTAGTATAGGACAAGCATTTTAAAATGTCAACCCAGGCCGGTCCATGTACTCCTACTTCAACCGTTTAAAACGTTATCTAGCGATCGGTTTTGAGTGAAAACCACTAGCTACAATATAAAGCAAGCAAGAAATCAAATTGTTGTTGTCCTATATGAGGAGACTTCACCCGTGTATTGCTCCCCTAGCTATATATCAAGATCGATAGGATAGAATGAAAACGTGTAAAGGAGTGCTCATACACCGTTAGAAGGGTGCAACTAGTGAAGAAACTTCACTCTCTCTCGGGTTATAGGTCAAGAAATACAACAAAAGCTAGAAAACTAGCTCTCTTGGCCAAGGGTTGCAAGCTCTACTCACTCATAACTTATTTCGGCCGGCAAATTAACAACCAAATCAAGGTGCTAAATCGAAGTTTGAGGCTCGCCCTAAATTGCCCTAGGTGGGTGCCTCAGTTGGCCAATAAATCTAGCTTATAAAAAGCCTCACTCAGAGGGGGCTTCCCTCCACCTAGGTCAATTTTGACATGGTTATGAGAAATGAAGAACACAACTCAATATTTCTGAAAATACCTCGTACTTTGCATTAAAACGCTAACCCATACACATAACATTCAAATCCTTACAATCTATCACATATCTAAAGCTAGGGTTCACAACACTCAAGTGAAAAAGAGCACTACTTCATAGCTAAACTAGGGATTACACCAAAGAAGAGAGAAAGAACCATGTTATGGTGCTTGGCTTCCTCCTATGTTGCAAAAATCACCATTGGAAGATGAAAATCTCCAATCTTCAAGCTTGGAGCAAACCCTACCAGCCTCCTTCTTCTCTTTTGGTTCGTCTATTTCTCTCTCTAAAATCAGAAGAAGAATGAAACAATGTCTCACTAGGCTCTCTCCTTCGAGTTTTCAGCTCCATTGATCTTTTATACCCAAGTCGCGCACACATCACGGTCAAACATGATGGTCGTGATCTTGAAGCTCGGACCATGATGTTGAGCAAAAGTGCACAGTTTCACTTACGGTCCGCCCTTTTGCCCTTTTCGTGATCTTCGCCTTTTTGCCCTTTTCGATCCGCTTTCGTTCAACTTTCGCTCCTAAGGCCAATCTCACCTGCTAGAACCTGAAACATGTTGGAGACATGCACAACCTAGCGTAAAATCAAACCTTAAGCGATGTAAACGCCTCATACACCACAATAACTCGGTGTGAAAATATGTGCAATTAGACCCGAATCGGCCCCTAACTTTTAATAATGACAAATATGTCATCCTTTACAAATTTCAGTCTTCGAAATAAATAAATAAAAGTAATCAAAACAAAATATTCTAACAATTTTTTTCCGTTGAATATATTCTAACAAATTGGTTCCTGAAATTTGTGTTTGATTCCGACTTTAAACCATGCGATGGCGAAAAACATTTTGAAGTTTAAAATTAGAAATCGGATGACACATTGGCACTATGTCGTCCCTACGACAAGAGGTATTTTTCTCGAAAACCCTCGTAAACCAATTGTTGATTTCTGCCACAGTGCCGAGAGAGAGGCGAGACATTCCATCCGGTAGATGTCCCCATCCAGCAAACAAATCGGCCAGCTCGCTCTGCTTACCTCTCCGTGTGATTCTTCTTTCAGGGATGCTTCCTTTTTCTCCGGATTGTCATCGAGGAAACTGTCGTCTATGGATCAGGTAAAACAATGACGTTGCATTGCATGCTCTGCGCATCTGGGGTGGTTCGCCCCTGTACTCCATGTTGTAATTTCTACTTTTTCTCCCTTTTCACTTTTGTGATTTCATGTGGTTTGTTGATGAGATGGTCGAAGGAAGAGGTAAAGTTCGGATTTTGAATATTGGGTATCCTTGGTCTTTATTTAGAATTGTGTTTTACCGCTCTGTCGTTGGAGAGTTCCCGTCCTTCTATGTAAATCTATGTTCTGGAATCAATTCAACCTGGATCTTCCTGCTGCTGTTCTGATATCTTCTGTTATTGAATCGGGCACCAACATTCCAAGGATGTTTCCTCATTGTTTCTCACTCTTGACTCCCTGGGTTTCCTGTTCAGGTAGTGCATCTGTTGGCCTGGTCTTTACTCTTGACGGAATCAGGAACAATAATTGGACAGAATTCTGTGTCCCTTGGTGGAATTGTGGGTTGTTTACTGGCGTATGCCATCGACGATGAGTGTGGTTGGGTTTGATATTGGTAATGACAACTGTGTTATTGCTTTAGTAAAACAACGGGGCATTAACGTGTTGTTGAATGATGAATCAAATCGTGAAACATCCGTTGTGGTGTGTTTTGGGGAGAAACAGAGGTTCTTTGGATCTTCAGGTGCCTCTTCTGCTATTATAAACCCAAGATCTACTGTAACACAAGTGAATAGATTGATTGGAAGGAGGTTTAAGGATCCTGAAGTTCAAATGGACCTAAAAACATTCCCATTTGACACGTCAGAAGCAAAGGATGGTGGCATTTTGGTTAATTTGAAATACTTGGGTGAAACGCACTCATTTTCCCCTGTTCAAATCTTGGCAATGTTATTTTCACATTTGAAAGATGTGGCGGAGAAGAACCTGGAAATGCCAGTCGTGGACTGCGTGATAGGAATACCATCATACTTCATGAATTTGCAGAGACGGGGATATTTGGATGCTGCTAAAATTGCAAGTTTGAAGCCTTTAAGACTGATGCATGACTATGCTGCAACTGCACTTAGTTATGGTATCTATAAAACTGATTTCTCCAGAATCGGGCCCACATATGTGCCAATTATTGACATTGGTCACTGTGATACTCAGGTGTCTATTGTATCATTTGAAGTTGGGCATATGAGAATAATCTCACATGATTTTGAAAGCAACTTGGGTGGGAAGGATTTTAATGAGGTTTTGTTTGGTTATTTTGCGGCTCAGTTTAAGGAGTGTTACAATATAGGTGTAAATGCTAATATCATGGCTTGTATTAGGTTAAGAGCAGCATGTGAAAAGTTGAAGAAGGTTCTAAGTGCAAACTCGGAGGCACCCTTAAACATTGAGTGCTTGATGGATGAAAAGGATGTTAAAGGTTTCATCAAGAGGGAAGAATTTGAGAGACTGTCGTCAGTTTTGCTGGAGAGAGTTGGTATTCCTTGCAAGAAAGCTTTAGTCGATGCAGCCATCTCCGTGGGAAGTATTCACTCGGTCGAGCTTGTGGGATTTGGATATAGAATACCAGCAATTCTAAGTTAATAACTTTTTTGTTTGGAAGAGAACCCAGTTGGACATTGAATGCAAGTGAATGTGTGGCTCGTGGGTGTGCTCTGCAGTGTGCAATGCTTAGTCCAGTTTTTTGTGTAAGAGAATATGATGTAAGTGCTTTCAAAATCAGCTTGATCCCTTATAGTTTTCCTCTTCAAAAGAAGCATGCACTTGCTTATATTGGCTGTTAGTGTTGACTATCAAATTACTGCTCCTTCCCCCTTTTTTCTGGATGGGGCTGTTTGCTTCTTTAATGCCTTGGTTCCAATGCTATTAAATTTTGCGTTATTACTGTAGCCTTTGATGTATGCATTTCATAATAGACTCTAGCCCTTGTATTTCCCCATGACCCACTCCGCAGACTATCACTGTGAATTGCAAAAGGGACTATATGGCATGTTATTTTGCTTGTATACATATGTGCGTTCAACGATAGTTCAGGAACTTCTAGCTGTGTGGTATGCAGGTTCAAGAGTCGAATCCTTTCTCCATAGGGTTCTCATCAGATGAAGGCCCAATTTGCACACCCTCATCAAATGGGATATTATTTCCTAGAGGCCTATCCATTCCAAGTACCAAAGTCTTGACATTTCAAAGGAGTCGTTAGTTTCACTTGGGCGCTTTCTATGCCGATCCAAATGAACTTCCAGCTGGTATGTCTTCTAGGATATTTACTTTTACGGTAAGCTTTCTTGTCACTAATGTCGAGGATATGGGAAACTCTTTGGTCTGAAATTAGTTCTTCTGCCTTCTCATAAAGATGTGGTTACTGGTCTGGACTCCCATTGCATACAGTTTTTGCCTTGTATCTTTTGGTCTCATGATGATAACTATATGCTCACTGTGTTTACCTTTTCTTTATCCGTTAATGATGCACAATTTGTGTTGTTTTCTTATTGCATTTTCTAAACACATCAGCCTTTGATTCAATGGTTATGATGGTACTTTTAGGCTTCGAAAATGCCAGAAAAATCATGTTGGGTTAAGGATATTTTAACTGTGACTGTCCATATTTCTACCCTTTGAAGCCTTTTTCGTGACGGCGTCCATATAGTTGGCAAGCCAATTATGGATGGACATTTGGGAAATGAGAGTATTCTACCATCTGTGATTGAGATGTTAGGATGATGTACGATCCAGATAGTTAAGAAGAGGCCCCAGAACTGATATATGAATCAGTTAGTTAAGAAGAGTCTCCACACACTCCCAAGTCCCTAGGCACATTTCTGTCTGCTTTGAAATCTGTTTGGAGAGCGATCATACAGTTTTTGGGCGCTTGCCGAGGGAAGAGATACAAGAAAGACTTCTTGTTGCTATGTGCATGGATTAAGGATCGAAGTGTCTTTAGATGTATGGTTTGATGGTGGTTAAGCACAGATAATATCTGTTAGTATAACAAGCAGCCACTTTCTGATGTCTATTGAAGGGATTTGTTTGATACATTATGCTTTTAACTTTCTTTTCTATGCTTTCACATTAAATGTTTCACCATTGATTTTGCATTTTAGACTTCTCATGCTCATGGATGGTTCCTTTGTCAATGGACTAAGGTAATCTAAAATTCTTTATGTAGATCGGTCCTTTACAAGGCTCCAGTGATGATAAGGCAAGGGTAAAGGTTAAAGTCCAGCTAAACCTCCATGGCATCATCACTGTAGAGTCAGCTACGGTAAACAACATCCAATTTCATGCAGTCTTTTCGTGATTAATTTGTAGCTTACTTAAAGATCTGAGAAACAATTGAATCTTAACATGCTTATCTTGAAGGTTGTTAGTGGTCATGGTGGTGATGACGTCGGTATGCAGTCTCCAACTTCCGATTCTTCAGTAAGTTCATTCACATTATGTAATTTGTTTATCATCCCTGATGTTTATGAAGACATCTAGTCTTTTTGAATGGAGGCCAACATGAAGCGTTCTTGTATTTGGATTTTTGCATAGGTCATACTGTATGGACTTAATCTACTAAGGCATAGGAATAAATGATGACACCAACTGTATCTGCAGGCAAATGGTTCGAGAGATAGAGGCAACTGTAGGGTCGAGATACCAGTGAGTGAAAATGTGTATGGTGGAATGACAATGGCTCAGCTTTCAGAAGCCCATGAGAGGGAACTTGAACTCACTCAACAGGACAAAACTGTGGAACAAGCCAAGGAAAAGAAAAATGCATTGGAGTCGTATGTCTATGAGATGCGTAATAAGGTACAAATTAATTGGTCTAAGAATGTACAGCTAAGAAAGAGCGAGGAGGCCGTTGTGAATTTTAAGAGTGCATGTCAAGGACAACTATTTGTGCATTTTAGTTTTACATCTTTCTTCGATTCGCGGATTTTAAAGATCAATAATCTGTGACATGTGCAGCTTTTTAACACATTGCGGAGCTTTGCTAGCGATGACGAAAGTGAGGGAATTTCAAGGAGTCTACAAGAGACTGAGCTATATGGAGATGGAGATGACGAAACTGAGAATGCTTACACCACACAGATGCAGGACTTGAAGCAGGTAATCTTGCTTTTCTTTAAGCTTTGTCCTCGGAAAGTTTTTACTCTTTTGGCTGACCTTTTGTACCTCAATTTTTCATAAGTTGGTAGATCCAGTTGAGAACCGATACAAAGATGAGGAAGCTAGAGCATATGCCACAAGAGAATTGCTCAATTCCATTGCAGAGTTTCGAGCTTCATCATAGTCTCTTCCAAATGAGGACAGAGAGCTGGTACGATAACATAAGAGACGAGACTTGCTCACATGAACTGAGAACTTAACCAATTCATTACTGGAATTATCTGTGGGTTTCCTGGATTTTGCAGATGATGAATGAGTGCCATAAAGCAGAACAATGGCTGATAGCAGGAACGCAACAACAAGAATCCATGCGCAAAGACATTGACCCCGTGTTATGGTCTAGAGATGTGAAGAGCCGAGCCGAGAACCTTAACTCGTAATTTTCCATTTCATCAAATTTCACTTGTTGATGACTGACGACTTGCCATTTTAGTAAATCTTGATTGATTCAATTTTCAGGACATGGAAGCACATAGTGAGGAAGAGGGCTTCACCAGCTAATTCAGGAGGCAGCAAGGTTCAGATCGGTAAAAACTACAATGGCCAAAGCAGTTGAAGACTCTTGTAGGTAGAAGTTCTCCATTGACGGAATCAAAGCATTCCACATTGTCATACTGATCCTTGAAATTTTGCATATTTTCAAAGCTATAGAAGTTAGAGAAAGAAGAAAACAAAAACATGAAAAAAAGGCAAAGGAAAATTTGCCCCTAGAAAGATGTTGCCATCTCTTTACCTGTTTCTGTGGCAACTCAATGCTGCAATTCCACAGCAGATCATGAAAAACTAGGGTCAGCAGCAGCCATAGCAGTTAACCGAGAGTTTGCACTTTCTATTGGCTTTCGTTATGCACAGAATCACCAAGGAATTTTGATTTCTATAATGTAGAATCTGCAGAAATTGTGCAGATTAATTCTTTGAACTCTCTAGTGATTTTGGGTGCTCCCCATTTATTTGTTTTCTTGGCCATTTTTGGACAACACTATAAACGAATAACATGATTGAAAAGCTTGCAACTTTCTGGAGGCAGAGGAGAAAAGCAGAGTATGGGAAAAGGAAAGAGAAACGAATTGGATATCACACAGCTCTCCAAACTTCGTGCGATGTTAGACTGCGGCAGCTGGTAAGATCTCCTAAGTTTCAGGCTTTCTTTCTCTTGCCGGTGGCTTTCTGTATCGTATTTCTGTATCCTCCACTATCCTGCGGGCAGCAGAAAATAAGGGACAGACAAGGGAGAAGAGAAACCCAAGCAAAAAGAGAAGTCTTCAGAAGAATTACCCTTTTGAAGTGCCTGTAGGCAGTTTGCCCAGTAAGCTCCGACCGTTTCTGGAGACGTAAACCTGCAGTGAGAGGAAGGAGTTTACAGGTTGCTGCTGGTACCAGAAAGCTTGAGAATGTGAAGGTCAACTTGTCGAATATACCTTTAGTCCTTCTGAATATGTAAACCAGTGACCAGCATCAGTAGCTTGACCACTTGCCTGAACTCGTCTTTTGCCAGCATCCTTAGGAAGACTAGCACTTGTTCTAGGGTCCACGCAACCCTGAGAAGCTGCTGCATTAGCATCTGATTTCCTTGCTCTCTTTCTTAATTTGGACGTTGATCCCTTCTCCAAGTTGCTTCCACCAGTGCCTTTGTTTTGAGGGGTTCCCCCAAATTGACTCCTCAAATGATCGAGGCACAAAAAACATCAAATTGATAGTAAAACAATATGCTCCAGCAGAAAATATGAATGAGCCCCAATATCTGCAGATCAGTGAGTTACATGTAATCAATAACTGATTCACTTGGAAGCAGATTCCCTCGCGCTCTAACCACACCAAGGGGGAAAAAGTGGGTCAAGCGATTGCGCACTAAGTTCTGAATCCTGGCATCATCATTGAAGAAATAGTGATGGGCTGGCGGAATCGGGTCATCTACGTTCCAGCATTGCTCAAACTCTGCCATGGCATTTCGATTCGGGTCATGACCTGCTCTGGTACTTACATGCTCTTGAGTTTCACGTCTGTTAGCAGCTGCATTCTTGTTTGTAACAGACTGGAAGCACTCGTTGCAGAACTCGTCTACAGCAGGTGTTGCAATCCGAACATTCTGCAATGGTCTGAAGTCCTTCCACAGGCCCTCCATCTTTTCCCAGATTGAGACCCGACATTTTCAGGCTTTCTGTTCACGTTATTGCCACTAGGAGTAGGCTCCTCATCGGAGGAGATCAACTGAAACCTTCTTAGAGGACTGGTAGTCAACTTTGGGAACACCAACCCACTGTGACTGGTTTCCAAGCTTGATGAAGCCGGTGTCTTGAGAGGCAGACCCTTTTGCTTTGCCACTGAGGACTGCCCTGATGATCGACCGGTCAATACTCCAGACCCACGAAGTGTAACTTTTGAACTACTACTGCATACAGAGTTGTGCTGGCGTGACGGAAGCATATCTGTTATTCAAAGGGGAAATTGGGGGAAATGATACACCTTCTTAAGTCCTGATATCTCTCTGGCTATATGCACAAGAAAACCCTAATTGATAAGCTAATGATCGGATTCTCAATTTAATCGAGGGTTCTAATTTCACAATTGAATAAGAAGGATAAAGCTCCGAGATTTACCTGTGAAAAAATCGTCGCCATCAGAAGAGAAATCTTCAATATCGTTCTCACAGGGAGCGGGACCCAGTTCTGGTCCCAGCTTCGCTCTCTGCTCCACAGTCACAGGTCCTCGCCACAGGCGCTTGAGAATCCGCGGAGCTTCTTCCGGACCAGAAACCCGAGTCGCCTCCAGCTCATCTTCTTCGTTTTGTCGCTCCTCCTGTGAATCAATGACGAGAGAAGCTGCGAAATCCTTGTCATCATCGTGTTCTTCCAGCAGTGCTCGGCAGCTCGGCGGGAGGGAAGGCGACGGTTGAGGAACTACCGATTCAGTTTCAGCGTCAAAATCGAGGTCGAGAGAGAAGTACGTGGGTTCGATTTCCGCCATTTTCGGGTGCTATGGCTGGAGGGGAGGAAGCGGGTCCGGAGGAGAGAGCTAAAAAATGGTTCGACGAGACTTGAGGGTAAAAAAGGGCGGGCGAAGTTTTTTTGACAAAGTTTTCGAATTTTTGAAATAATTGGAGCCAAATCCATTTTCCATCAGGGCAAATCTACGTGTAATTACGCTGAAGTTTTTTTTTTTTTTTTTTTTGATAATGGTGATTGAGATTAAACAAAAAGAAAACAGAACAGAGTTCACAAGGGCAGAAGAGATCACTAGAAATGATCTCAGGCCACCCAGAAAAGAAGGAAAGCCAACCAAAGGCCCGCAAGGTTAGATGGACGAGACCACCCCTACCAGCGGTTACAGAAGAAAAGGGAAAAGCCGGGCAACCAAGATACAGACAGAAGTCCAAGAGGAAGCCACAATCCAGAACGAAGAGCAGAGCAACCACAAACAAGAAGGATCAGATTCTCTGAATTCTCTCATTGAGCCACTGTGAACAAATACTCCTGTCCGCTTTGTTATGAGCAGAAATCCAATTAATAGCCTCCTTACACGCATTCCTGGAAACGATTCTGGCAGGGCTACTGGAGTCATTGAAGATGCGCCGATTCCTCTCCCGCCAGACGTGCCAACAAACAGAATGGAGCGCTGCATACGAAAACCAAGAGTTCACATTATCCGGAACCCCCGATGGCCAAGTCTGCAGAACCGTGACAATGTCACCAGACGGCGACTCCACGAGTGGGCATGCTCTCTTGATTCCAAGCCAAACTTCACGAACAAAAGCGCAATCCACGAATAAATGGTTAGCGGTCTCTTCTTGACATTTGCATAGATCACATCTGTTCGCAAGAGCTAATCCCCAACTCTTCAGTTTGTCAATCGTACGCAGCTTCATATGCGACAATGTCCATAGAAAAAAGCACACCTTGGTGGGGATTATTGACTTCCAAATAGACGCGGCTGGATAATTAGCGACCCCCGGAAAAAGATCATCCGCCAGAGTCCTGTACATAGAAGAGACAGAGAAACCAGAGTCTGGATTTGGAAGCCAAACCAGCCTACCGGGACCATTAGTAACACGACCAGCAGCAGAAGAGTTAAGAAAGCTCATAAGGTCAAGACGCTCTCGCTCAGCACCCCCCCTAAGAGAAAGATTTAAAGGAAAATCCCACCTTACTATCTCACCTGAGCGATGGTACATATCTGAGATCCAGGCAGCAGGATGTGAAGCGGCAGCAGCAACACGGGGGTATCTAGAGGCAAGAGTGCTACCGGGACACCAGTTGTCATGCCAAAAAGAAACGTCTGACCCGCAACCAGGATCCAAGCATGCAAGTTTCCAGAATTTATCAAAATCTCTGTTGATGTTGGACCAAACTGATTTCGAGTAGCCTCCATGGATGTGACCAGGTTGCCAAGAGGACAAAGAGTTGGGATATTTAATTGAGATAAGGCTTCTCCACCAACCCTCCTGTTCTGCGGCAAACCTCCAGGCCCATTTAGCAAGCAAAGCACTGTTAAAGCTGGCCAGATCAATAATGCCGAGGCCACCATTGCTCCTTGAAGCCTTACAAACATCCCATCTGACTAAGGGATTCTTGTGATCATCCCCAGTCCCTTGCCACAAGAATTGCCTCTGAATTTGCTCAAGTCTATTTGTGGTGCGTTTGGGAGCTTTAAGCAAAGAGAAGAGGTGAACCGGTTTGCTAGATAGGATCGATTTAATCAGGACCATCCGAGCCCCAAAGGACAAATGCCTCCCCCTCCATCCTTGGAGTTTCTTCCTATAACTGTCCTCGAGAGGATCCCAGATATTCACCCCATTCGGCTTAGCTCCCAAGGGAAATCCGAGGTAAACAGATGGATCCCGACTCCATTTACATCCGAAAATAGAAGCGAAAAAACTTGGTTCCGGGACATCTCCCACAGTGTACATAACAGATTTATCAAGATTGATTTTCAGCCCCGTGACTGCCTGGAAACACACCAGAGTAGCCAAAATATTGAGAACCTGATCTTGAGAGGCATCGCAGAAGATAAGAGAGTCGTCTGCAAACAACAAATGAGAGACTTCCCCCAGCCCATGATCTTCATCCATACAAAAACCTGTAACCTTTCCTTCCTGCTGAAGTCGAACAATCATAAAAGAAAGAATATCCATGATAAGCACAAAAAGACCAGGCGAAAGAGGATCGCCTTGCCTTAACCCTTTTTGAGCAGGGAAGAAGCCTTTGGCTTCACCATTAATCAGGATAGAGTACATGGGGGAGCACATAACACCTTTCATCCATCTCAACCACTTCGTCGGAAAATCCAAAGTCGAGAGAACTTTAAAGAGGCAGTTCCAGTTAACATTGTCAAACGCTTTCTCGATGTCAAGCTTGAACATCAATCCAGGTTTTCGACTTTTCTTCCGGCTATCCACCAGCTCATTAGCTATCGATCCGGCTTCCGAAATCTGTCTGCCACAGACTGAAACGTGTTGGAACTTAGAGACCACCTTAGGTAAAATCAGACCCAACCTTCGAGCCAAAACTTTACTGAGGAGCTTATTAATGCTGCCCAAGAGACTAATCGGTCTCAAATCTTTAATATCCTCAATCGTGTCTTTCTTGGGAGTCAAGCAAATAAAGGAATGTGCAGCGCATTTTGGGAGGTAGCCTGAATCATAAAATTCACCAAAAGCACTGAGAATCTCTGGCCTCAACAAATCCCAGCATCTTTTGTAGAACTCCATTGGAAACCCATCAGGGCCCGGGGCTTTGCCACCATCGCTGTCTCTCAAAGCCGCCAGAATTTCCGCTTCAGAGAAAGGTTGAGTTAGAAGATTCTTATCCAATTCCGAAAGCCTGCAATCCATATAGTATCTAGGGAAAGGGCGTGAGTGAAACTTGTCGAGGAAAAGATTCTGATAATGAGTAACCACCGCCTGAGACAGTTCCTCTCTGCCTTCAACTGGGATGCCATTGATTTTAATCAGATTAATGTAGTTTACTTTCCTTCTGTAGTTCGCAGCTCTATGAAAGAAGCCCGAATTGCGTTCTCCCACCTTTAACCAGAGTTCTCTCGACTTTTGTCTCCAGCTGATCTCATGGAGTGTAAGTAAATTTTCAAGATCAATCTTAAGACTGTTCCTGAGGCACTGATCATCACTGGAAATATCCCCATTTTCTTCCAGAATGTCGAGGTTTTTAATTTCCTGGAGCAGCACTTCAATTCTGGTATTAATATTGCCAAAAGTCTCCTTGTTCCACACTTTGAGCTTAGATTTCAGATCCTGAAGCCGTTTAGACCAGCGAAAAATCAAACCAGAGCCAGATAAACTAGTCTCAAACCAACCCGGAATATCTTTGAAGAACCTTTCATCTTCCAGCCACATGGATTCAAACCGCCAAGGCCTTTTGATTCTCCCAACATCTCCCCATTTAAGCAGAAGCGGGTTATGATCAGAATCAAACCTCTCGAGGGCAGATAGCGAGCAATCAGAATATAATATATCAAAGTCAACAGAGAGCAGAACCCGATCAATTCGAGAGAGAGAACCAGACCCAAATCCTCCACTTCTAGTAAATCTGCTCCCTCCCAAAGGAAGATCAATCAGGGCATTGTTGTCGATAAAGAGGTTGAATTCAGCCATAAGATCTGGGCTGCGCCTAACACCAATGTAATCTTCATGGCTTCTAACTAAGTTGAAATCGCCAGCAATACAGATCGGGCCATGAGCGTCTTGACAGAAGCCGTTGATCTCTTCAAGAAATAAGAGCTTATCCCTACGATCCTGCGGACCATATACGACTAACAGATGCCAAACTTTTGAAGAAGAAATATCCTGGAATTCCACACACAAACAGTAATTGCCTACCTTTTCTGATTGCTTGCTGAACAAAGACGAATCCCAAATAATAAGAATCCCCCCAGCACTGCCAATCGCTGGTTTAGAAACCCAACTGAAACTCCTTCTGCCGAATATATTTCTCACAATCATGTCCGAACACTGTTCCAGTTTAGTTTCAACAAGCCCTACAATACTGGGATTCCTGCGATTAATGAAGCCTTTTACACGAAGTCTCTTGTCCGGGTCTCCAAGACCCCTTACGTTCCAGAATAAGGCAGAGGACCCCATTAAGATTCGTCACCAACTTCCCCCCTCCTTTTCCTCCGCCTTCTCGGGCCATTCACTGGGGCATCCAGAGGACCGAGCCTGCGTAACTCCATATCCAGCTTTGATCTGGAGTTTCTAACCTTTTTCTCGTGCAAAAGCTGCGCTTTGGAGATAATGATCTGATTGGTAACCAATTGACCTTCATCTTGCTCCAGACCAAATATATGTCCCATTTCAGTACTCTTCTCGACCAATGATTGCAAATCAAAGGGATAGCTCTCTAAATCCCAATCGCGATCTCCAGTATCCGCTAGACAGGAAGGCGAGGGTAAGGAAGAATCAACACAAAGACTGGGGGTGGGACTGACGACAGTCGAAAAGGAGGTGATGGGGCTCGAGGAAGGGGTGGAAGGGCATGGGTCTGCACTAGAGGCTGGGATACAGGATAAATTAGGGTCATTGATATCTAAACTGATGTCATCGAAAAGGGTTAAAGGAGAAGAAATGTTGAGGGGCTGAGAAGGGGGAGCAACAGAAGGGGATAGGAAAGGGAGGACACCAAAAAACGGTGTAAGATCCAAGGAACATGAGAGGATAAGAGCAAAAGGTTTCGGGTTAGAGAGCCGGTTGGACGGGGAGGAGAAGGATGGGAACGAAACAAGGTTGAGAAGGCCAAAGATTTCTATTCCTTCATGGGCCTGAACGAGGGTGGAAGGCCCGGGACAGGGGATAGATGGAGACAAAGCAGGGACAAGAGAGCAGGAGGCCCGAGATTGAGGATGCAACCAAATAGGCCCAGCCTTCCTGATCCATACTTTTTGAGTTGGTCGCTGAGCCCCTTTCGAGGGTCTGAAGGAGCCGTTACTAGGTGCAGGGGAAGCCAAAACGTTCTCTG